TACGTGCCCCCCCCCCCGGCCTTCCACCCTCACCTTCTCCCTGCATCACAGAGAGAAGCAAGCACAAGGCCCGGAGGAGACCTCGAGCCAGCTCCTCCTCCTCTTCTTCCAGTTCTTCTAGCTCCTCTTCCTCCTCGTCCTCCTCCTCCTCTTCCTCCAGTGATGGCCGGAAGAAGCGGGGGAAGCACAAGGATAAGAAGAGGAAGAAGAAGAGGAAGAGGAAGAGGAAGAAGAAGCTGAAGAAGAAAGACAAAGAGAAGGCGGAGGTGCAGCAGGCCGAGGCTCTGCCCGGCCCCTCGCTGGACCAGTGGCACCGATCAGCCGGGGAGGAGGAGGATGGCCCAGGTCCTGCGCTGACCGGCCGGCGGGGGCCGGGGGGCGGGGTCCCCTCCCAGGCCGGCCTGACCCCGCCTCCCACGGCCCCTTGCAGTCCTGACTGATGAGCAGAAGTCCCGCATCCAGGCCATGAAGCCCATGACCAAGGCGGAGTGGGACGCCCGGCAGAGCGTCATCCGCAAGGTGGTGGACCCGGAGACGGGACGCACAAGGTGACCGGCTTGGGCGCCGCCAGGCCTCCTGTGCCCCCCACCCCCGGGGGGGGGTTGGCAAGGAACCGTCACTACTCAGCCATTCCTCCCTGGTTCCCGTGGGAGTGAGTGGCTGCGGGCAAGGACGGGCCTTGAGGCTTTTCCAAGCGGCTGTTGTTGGTTGGACTGGCGCAGGCTGGCAAGGCCCGGCTCACCGGGGCTGCCGCCATCCCTGTCCCGAGGGCAGCGTTGGGGGTGGGTACCTGTCGGGCTGTGTTCGGACGTGGACTCAGGGCCTGAGCGCTGTCCCTTAGCCTTTTTACTCAAAGCTAGCACTCTGCTGCTTGAGTCACAGCTCCATTTCTGGCTTTTTGCTCGTTAACTGTAGTTAAGAATCATAGGCCTGTTGGGAAGGTGGCTCAGTTGTAGAGTGCTTGCCTTGCATGCATGAGGCCCTGGCTTCGATTCCTCAGCACCACATAAGCAGAAAAGGTCGGAAGTGGCGCTGTGGCTCAAGTGGTAGAGCGCTCGCCTTGAGCCGAAGAGCTGAGAGACAGTGCCCAGGTCCAGAGTTCAGGCCCCATGACCGACCAAAAAAAAAAAAAAAAGAATCATAGGCTTTCCTGCTTGGGCATCCTTTGGACCTTGATCCTCAGATCTGTCTCCTGACTACCTAGGATTACAGGTATCAACCACCAGCCGCTAACCCCAGGTTGAAGATGGCGGACACTGGGACCTCTGCTGCAAGGTTCTGGTTCTGTTGCTCTGGCACAAAGGGCTTCGCTAGTTTCTTGCTGAATGGACACTATCCTACCCACAGGCTTATCAAAGGTGATGGAGAGGTCTTAGAGGAAATCGTAACCAAAGAACGACACAGAGAGATCAATAAGGTTGGTGTTGCCCCTTTGCCCATGTCTGCTCTCAGCCCTGTTTCTGATGGTCCTGTCCTCCTGTTTTCTCTTCCTCAGCAAGCCACCCGAGGGGATGGCCTGGCCTTCCAGATGAGAGCCGGGCTGCTTCCCTGAGGGCTCCAGCTGCTCGGGGCCTGTGGACTGCTGATGGAGCTTGGACTCAGGCCTCTGGGAGGGGGCGGCTAGCCTGATGGGCATACCTGCCTACCTGTGGGGGGCCCACGCTGGCCTAGTGGCCTCTCAGGAAGGGGTAGAGGACTGGATCACTAGCCCTAAAGCATCTGAAGAGTGCTGCATCTCAATATTAAATGAATATTAAATGTTCCCTGGCCACAGATTTCTTGTCCTGTTGCTGTGCTGAGGGCACTACTTTTTTTTTTTTTTTTGCCAGTCCTGGGGCTTGAACTCAGGGCCTGGGCACTGTTACTGAGCTGCTTTTGCTCAAGGCTAGCACCCTACTACGTGAGCCACAGCGCCACTTCTGGCTTTTTCTGTGTATGTGGTACTGAGGAATGGAACCCAGGGCTTCGTGCATGCTAGGCCAGCACTCTACCACTAAGCCACATTCCCCGTTTTTTGTTGTTTTTTTTTTTTTTTGTGTGTGCTGGGCTTGAACTCAGGGCCTCTTAGTTTTTGTGATCAAGGCCACCACTCTACTTCCACCTCTTTGGTGGTCAACTGGAGGTAAGAACCTCACAGACTTTTCTGCCCGGGGTTGACTTTGAACTACCATCCTTAGATCTTGGCTTCCTGAGTGTCCAGGATTACAGATGTGAGCTGCTGGCACCTGGCATACTTTTTGGGGTGTGTGGCAGGGATAGGCTCTGGGAGTTTGAGAGAGCTGGCATGTCTCCTGGTAATGAACACAAGTCACCCTAGCCACCTCTGCTCCCAATTTGACAGGACCCACACTCCAGTCTTAGGCACTTAAGGTGTGACCCACTCAGGCTTTGGGTATGACTATTGCCCATATCCCACCCACAGATCACCATAGTGCCCAAGATCCAGGGTTCTGGGTAGGAATGCCAACTGGCTTGCTGGCTGACCCTGTGTGGCACGGGCCCACAGACCCTCATCAGTAGGAATGGCGGCCAGCTACACACTTGGGCTGGTGTCACCATGTGCACCAGGCCCCGCTGATTGGGAGGAACGCCCCTCCTTACCAGTTTTTCCTTGAGGATGGCCCTGCCCAACCCGTGCCTTGATCGCCACAGTAATGAGACGAGAAGGAAGCCTCTTGCTTCTTTAATTGGTGTAACAGACAGTGACGCTGCATACAGAGCACACTCAGGCTGATGATGTGGGGAGCAGGGGAGGAGGTGAGGACACTGCTCACATGGCCCAGAGAGACAAACGGCACGAGGACAGACAAGAGGGGGAGGTGTGAGGGCTGGACAGGACGGGGTGAGCAGGTGGACAGCTCACACTGAGCTGGGACGGGGTGAGGGTTTCTGCTAAATCTCTCAGAAATGAGAGAAGGCAGGTGGTCGGAGCTGGGTGCCACCGAGTGTCAGTCTGGGGCTGGGGCGGGGGACTAAGGCTTCTATTCTAACAGGCCTGGGGTGGGTGGCAGTCAGCGAGGCCTGCCTCACCCTTTGGTTACCACTGGTCAGGCCCAAGCCCTGCAGCTCGGCACCTGACACTGTAAACATTTTTGGTATTTTAAAGGACTGTGTGCCCTCCCTCTCGTAGTTGGTGGGAAACTGGAGACGGTGCCAAATGAATTCTAGGAAGGCCAAAAGCAGACCAGGTTACAGAGGTCGGGGAGGGGGAGAGAGGCTGCCCATCTCACCATCTATGGCTGAGGGCCATGGAAGAGGCCCAGGGGACTATTGCTATTGTCCTTGGCATGGCTGGCGGCTGGGCAGGAGAGGGGAAGGGAGTGGGGAGAGGCCGAGCCCACTGCTGGCAGGCTCTCCCTGGCCGGGAGGCCGCCTGGCCTTTATTGCAGGCAGGCCTGGGACTTCCAGATACTTCAAATGGCTGGGTCACCACGGTGTAGGCAGGACAATGTGAAGGGGGCCGAGAGGAGGCGGCACCGGCCACAGGGCCCTGGCGGGGGCTGTGATTGTCGGGCCGATGGCCTCCTGCCTGGAGCAGAGGGGCCAGATATTGCACTTGACTGCAACACTTACATGGAAACTTGGTCCATAAAATCATCGTTGCTTTATACATAACGCCTGAAACAACAAAAAGCTACATCTTAAATATGAGTAAACCTGAAGGTTCCATCCCTCCAGACAATTTTCTCTGCACAAAATAAATAGCTTTCCCTCTGAATGCAGGCCTGCTCTCGCAGGACACGTACCCCTCTGGCTGTACATATCTACACACAGGAAAGTTAGCATCCGCCCGCACCTCTCCAGCCCAGGCGTGCAGCCCTGAGACAGAGTCCGGCTGGGCCCAGCAGGCTTGCCCACTTCCGGGAAGGTGGAGGAGCACCGGGGGTTGCGTTCGGTGCTGGGATGGGAAGTTTGTCCTTGGTTCAGGAAAAAAATGGAGTCAGGGCGGCCCACCCTGAAGCCAACGAAGCTAGCTGTGGCTTCTTATTAGATTGGCATTAAAAAAACCTAAGTGTGTGCCCCACCCACCCCAGAGTCGAGACGCAGTGGAATCCATGGGTCAGGTGGGGCCGGGAGCCCACACCTTGCAGAGGGGGGGAAGGGGGCGGGGCCCACGTCCAGAGCCAGGCTGGACACTCACAGTGCTGGGTGTCTCCCACGTGGAAGGGCTGCGCTTGTACGCAAAGAGTTAAGAAAAGGAAGCAGCCAAGGATTGCTCATTAAAAAAACCTCATAGAAATCAGATTGAGAAGTAGAAAGGCGTAGAAACGCGGGCGGGCGGCCATGGCATGGGGCCTCGGCCAATGGCAGGCAAGGAGCAGAAGTGGAGGCCAGGCCCCGCAGCCCGGGGTGAGGCTACTCGGGAGCCCACTGTGGACATCGCGGGCAGCAAGCCTGTGCTGTGCACCAGCCCTGCAGCCAGACCCAGCTGTACGTGGGGCCGGGGTGACGGGCCACAGTCCAGGGCTGCCCAAATTAAGATATGGCCTTTCTCTCCTGCTTGTATGTGGGTTTGCCACACTGGGACCTTCTGTGTGGTAAGAAGTCCTGGGTCAGCAAATACTGAATTTTCATGCATGTCAACGAATCTAGCCGTCAGAGATGGCAGGGGGTCTCCACTCAAAAATCAGTGCAAAACCAGTGAGGTTGAACAGTTGAGAAACTGGAGTCAACAAAAAGCAGGCTGGACCCCTGTTGGAGCTGTTCCCAAACAGGAGGGGCCTTGTGTGGGGAGCTAGGGGGAAGGAGGTGGAGGCTGAGTCTGGCCCACAGCTGGCTCAGGCTGGGAGCTCTATGCACAGCAGGATGTTTGGGGGGTGGGGGGGTCTCCCAGGCCAGGCTAAGTGGGATGTCTTGCCAGCTTCCACAGACCCTAAGATGCGAGGCATGGCCGGGAGGACTGTGGCATGGCTGTATCCCCACGGGGCCCTGGAACCAGCTCCCAGGCCGCAAATGTGCTTGTTCCCAGCTGCCTGCCAGTTTCCAGGCCAGGCCTCCCAGTGGGGCTGGCACCCTGGCCTAGCACCATGGAGACCACAGCGCCTCGTAACAGTGCCCTACTTGGGGCCCGTGACTGCCCCTGGCTCGAGCCGGCCGGTCATGGTACGGCCCCAGCAGCTGGCTGCCATGCTCAGGCTGCGCTGGCCCCGCAGCTCGCTCTCGGCCTGGCTCTGCGTCCTCTCATGCCGGAGGCTGGGCCCGCCGGGCTGGGCTGAGATGGTGCGGAGCAGGTGGTTGCGGGAGCGCAGGAAGTCACCCTGGCCCGGCAAGCCGAAGCTGCCCTTGCGCAGCGCCATGCGGGTGGCGGTGTTGCGGGCTGGTCTCGCGCGGTGGTTGTACTTGAGCTGGGCCAGGTGGGCCGCATAGCCGTCTGTGATGAACTGTAGGGGCAGCAAAGCGGATGGGTTGGGGGCGGGGGTGCTGAGACTCCTGGGGCTGCCCACCACGGCCTCTCCGCTCACCTGGCACTGCTGCTGCAGCTTCTTGGTGGGCCGGCCCACGATGTAGATCTGCATGGGGGACAGGCTGATGGAGCTGTACACTGCCACGTCCTTAGTGGAGCCGTAGGCCGCGTGCACACGCAGATGCAGCTGCGGGAAGGAAGCCAGAGCGCGCTTGGGCCTGCGGTCAGTCCCGTCCTCCCTCTCCTCCCTGCCCTCTTCCCCTCAGCCCCAGCCCTGCACAGCTTGCTGCTCCGGGCCCCACCTCCGAGATGAGGAGCTTCAGGAAGTTGGCCTTGTGCCTCAGTGGGTCGTGCACCAGGCCGTCACAGAAGGACACCACGCCATGGGGGAAGTTGTGCTGAGCCAGCCACGCCACCACTCGCTGCTTCTGCATGTCAGGCCGGCCCGTCACGTAGATGATGAGGTAGCCCAAGTCCTGCCAGTGCCTGCAGCGGGGACGGGCCTGAGCGGGCTGCGGCCCCCTCCCCCGCCCTCCCCGCCTCCTCCCAGGAGGCACCACAGGGCCACTGGAAAGACAGTCTCTGATGGAGCTCGTGGTTGGCCTGAGCGGGACAGCCGAGAGCCCTCAGGGTGTTCACTGCTCTTCAGCTTCCTTTTTTTCTTTCTTTTTTATTGGTCATGGGGCCTGAACTCTGGGCCTGGGTGCTGTCCCTCAGCTCAAGGCTGCTCTACCACTTGAGCCACAGCACCACTTCCGGCTTTTTTTTAATGTGGTGCTGAGGAATCGAACCCAGGGCTTCATGTATGCAAGACAAGCGCTCTACCACTGAGCCACCTTCCCAGTGCCCCTCCTCCCCTTTTATTAGGCGCTGTCTTTGAGATTTTGTGTTCAAGGCTAGTGTTCTACCACTTGAGCCACAGCTCTGCTTCTGGCTTTTTGGTGGTTAATTCCTTCCTGAGCTGGCTTAAAGCAGTGGCGTTCAGATCTCAGCCTTCTGCCTAGCTAGGATTACAGGCGTGAGCCTGAGGTATGGCACCTGGCTTCCTAGCTTCCTTTCTTTGGAGAACTGAAGATGGGCATTGAACTTGAGCAGCTCATCCAGTCATACCTCTGTTAAGGGATCCCAACTCGGCTCCCTGGGACCTAGGGTGGGTCTCCTTGGGAGGCCGCCCACCTGTGACCGTCACACCGCGTGCCCCTGGCCACTCACCGCACCACGTCCACAGCCCCGGCCCGCACCTTGGGGTCACTGCCCATGATGGACACGCTGGCGGCAAAGGAGCCATCAATGCTGAAGACCACAAACTCCGTGCCCTTGGGCAGCACAGTGATGTAGCTGTCGGCAAATGTGTGGTCTCCCCTGGCGAGGGGACAGCTTGTCAGAACCAACCCGAGCCACCTTTCCTGTCCCCAGGAGGCTGGCCCTGGCACCTCCCCACCCCCGGCAGAGGTCCATACCTGACCACCATTTTGATGGGGTAGACACCCACCCCCAGGCGGTGTGTCTCCGGGATCGTGTAGGAGACACGTCCACTGCTGTTCGTCACCAGCGTGTCCAGGTGCAGCCACTCCCCCGAGGGTGGCTGCGTCATGATGTGCACGTCCACCTGGAGCCCAGGCAGGCTGGTCACAGCCAGCTGTGTCCTGGACCCCCCAGTCCCTGAGCCCCAGCCAAGGTCCGCCGTGCCCTCACCTTCTCTCCAGTGAGAGTGACCATGTCCAGGGGCCCGTACATGAACCGGCCCGTCACAACCTGGGGGCCATCCTCGTTGGCGACCGCATCGTTGATCCGGTGGTTGGCCGTCACGTTCTGGGGAGTGGACAGTGGATGGGGTTGGGGGGACGTGGAGGCCGCTTATGCTCCCGTTGGCCTGAGGAGTGGGCTTGGCCACCTGACTCTCGGGCCTTGGGCTTCCTTGCGTGTGCAACGAGCTCGCAGCTCCGGCCTCTTCCGCCCCCGGGAGGTTGGGGGGAACAGCGTGCCTCTCCGCCGCCCAGGCTCCTCCTCTGTGACCCCCGGGCTTCTGACAAGGATTAAATAGGACACAGAGCAGCCCGGGGGTCTGGGCACCGCAAGGACCCTCACCCGCAGCTTCACGTGGGTCCTCTTGCGCTGCCACTTCTCTCTTGGCTGCGAGGGGGTGAACACGGACACCTCCTTGCCATCCAGCTCCAGGATGCTGGAACTATCATGCCTCATGACCTGGGGGAGGGGAGAGCGGGCCGGCTCCCAGCTGGGCTGCTGCTCCTGTGGACCCCACGGCCCCAGGGGCTGGCAGGGGGGAGCTGTGAGAAGCTCGGGGTACTATTCAACCCTCTGTAGACTGCCTGCGACCTCAAGTGCCCACCGGCCCCTGGTGGCGATGCCCCCACCCCAGCACCACAGCTCCTACCTGCGGTGGCCTGGCGGGCCGCGGATGGAGGAGGCCCCCTCACCCCTGCCTGCACACCCTACCCGGCCATCCCCCTGCGGGGCCCCCGGTGAAGCCTGTGTGCCTGGCAGCGGGGCCCCCGCTACCTGTCTCAGCAGGAAAGAGACCACGTCGGTGGACTCCCAGTAGCTGGCATGGAAGAGGTGGGGCAGCGCCACCGTGGGGAAGGCTGTCAGGGCGTCGGGGCAGTACAGGGCATAGTCGATCCGCTTCTGGCCCCACCACTTTGCAGCAACTGTTGGGAGGAGGAGCCATGACTGGGCTCTGGGCAGGGGCCCGCTGGGGTCCCTCGGGCCTGTCCACCCCAGACTTGTCCTCCCCTCCCAGTGCAGCCTGGAGCGACAGCTGTGTGGGTAGCAGATGCCAGGAAGCCCAGAAGGCAGCTCCGCACACAGCCCGTGGCTGTGGGTCTGCCGAGGGCGGGAAGCTCCGCACACAGCCCCTGGCTGTGGGTCTGCTGAGGGCGAAGCTCCACACACAGCCCGTGGCTGTGGGTCTGCCGTGGGCGGGAAGCTCCGCACACAGCCCGTGGCTGTGGGTCTGCCGTGGGCGGGAAGCTCCGCACACAGCCCGTGGCTGTGGGTCTGCTGAGGGCGGGAAGCCCTAGCTCTGCTCGCCCAGCCCTCCCTGGGCCTCTCCCCTGCATTCCCACCTGTACGCCGTGAATGGCATCGCAGAGGAAGGATTTTTTTGGTCTCAATTGCAGACCTGCCAGGACAAGCCTGGCCCTCCTCAGCGCCGGGCTGCGCGGGCTGCAGCCAGAGCCCAGGGCCTGCCCGAGGGCAGTCCTGGCTGTCCTCAGGGACTGGCCTGGCGCGTGCCCTGACTGTGTGCAGCAGGCGTCCAGCAGGCGGTGCCCGTTTTATGGGTCCTGGTTCCCAGCTTGCTGCTCCTTGGGGGTCCCTCCCAGCCCAGGGCGTGAGCTATGTCCGCGAGGCCTCAGGGCTGGGGGCGGTGAGTGTGCGGCATGCTCAGCACAGCAGTGTCTGTGTTAGAGGCTGTGAGCGGGGTACCTTCTCCGATGTCCGAGTCAGGGAGGCAAGGGGCCCTCTCCTGCCGGCCCCGGGGGTGAGAGCCAAGCATGGCTGGGGAGGGGGGGGGCAGGGCGAGAAGGGACAGGCGCCTGACACTGGGGGTGTGGCTGAGCGACGAGGGGGCCTCTGAGAAGCAAGAACAAGGGGAACAGCTCAGACACACCCTGGGATACCATGCTACAGGGCCAGGCCCTCCACAGAAGAGATGAAACCAGCAGGGCACCAGTGGCTCACGCCTGTAATCCTAGCTGCTCAGGAGGCTGAGATCTGAGGATCACGGTTCAAAGCCAGCCCGGGCAGGAAAGTCCGTGAGACTCTTATCTCCAATGAACCACCAGAAAACCAGAAGTGGCGCTGTGGTAGAGCACTAGCCTTGAGCAAAAAGAGCTCAAGGACAGTACCAGGCCCTTAGTTCAAGTGTATGACCAGAACACACACACACACACACACACACACACACACACACACACACACACACGTACCACAGAGAACCAGAAAGACAACAGCCCCTAGAACCCGCCCCTGGCCCAGAGCAGCTGCCCTAGACTCTGTTTCCAGCTAATGGGAGCTCCTGAGAGGCTATGTCTGATGTCCTGATGTTCCCTCTCCAGCTCCTCCTGAGGATGCCACTCTTACCAGCTAGAAACCACTAGCACCGGCCCCCCCACCAGTGTGGCAATTGGGGATGGATACAGATACGGCCAGCTTTCCCATGGACCCCCGTTGAGCCGCCTGTGACAATGAGAAGGGCAGAGGAGAGGCCACTCACTCTGGGCGATGCTGGACGCCGTGTAGCTCTCAGCCATGCCTGACACTTGGCTGGCAATGCTGATCTCACTGGCTCTGCGGAGGCCGCGGCTGGTTGGGGCCGTGCCCGGTGATGAAGGGGCCACGTGCTCTTGGAAGACCGTGTTGTGGGTCTGGAGTGCATCTGCTGCAGGTGGACAGGCACAGAGGCCCAGGTGAGCAAGGCCCAGCCTGGCCCCGGCCCTCCTGGAACAGAGGGAGACCTGCGTGCCGAGTGTGGCATGCACCTGGGCTGGGGCAGCTCAAGGAGGCAAGAGCCAAGGGGCCTGAGTGGAGGCGGGGTGGGGGGGAAGAGGAGGGGGAGGAGGAGGGCTGAGGCATGAAAGGATGGATGGACAGACAGCACAGAGACAGGGTAGGGAGGCGAGGCCAGGGATCTTGCCCCCCCCCCCTTGGCCATCTCTTCTCCCTGTATGGCTCCTAAGCTGGTCTCCAGCAGCCCCAGCCCGGCTTGACTCACAGCTGGCCAGGCAGGCCTGACCTAGGTTTGAGGGGCACAAACCATAGTGGCCTGGGCTCTCTAGATGCCCTACACACGCTGAGCTCTGAGGAGGCGGCCCTCACCCGTGGGCCGGACCGACTCAGCTCCTCTCGGCTATCTGGCACAAAGGGAGATGCTCAACCTCCAGCCAGGCTCGCTTGGGCCCTGGCTGAGGTCAGGACTCAGCCAGAGGAGCCAGTCTGGATGGCAGGTGCAGGACCTGCATCCTCAGGGAGTGAGGCCAGCCCTCCTTCCCTTCCCCTCCACTGTTCTGGAGTTTTGAACTCAGGGACCTGGAGCACCCAACTCCTTGCTCGCCTCTCCTTGGCGTGGGGTGGGAGGGGGCTGGCGGTGCCTCAGCCCACTGCCGGGTTCTGCCAGCCTCAAGGAGCTCCATCTCCTGTGGACACTGCTGGCAGGCTGTGTGACCCTCGCACAGCTCTCCTCTCCTGATGCCTGGGCTACTGACTGCTTTAGCTGTTAGTCCCCAGCCACTGGCATTCCAGGCACAGGGAGGAAGCACCATGGCCAACTCCCCAGAGCCTCGCAAGCCTCTTCCCACTACCAACATCCCGCGACTCTGAGTGGCCAAAGAGGGCGTGGGGGGCGGGCATAAGGACCAGGCGTCAGCAGCTACGCAGATGTTGGCCACCACGGAGGGATACACACACTCAGCACAGCCCGGACTCGGGCGGGGCCCGTCTTGCCAGGTGAGCGCGGGAACGGGGATACTGGTTTCCAGGAAGCCATCCCCTTGGGGGAGAGGGGCCAGGGGGCCACCTTCCAGGACCAGCTCAGGGTTTCTCTGCACGGTCTCAACTGGAGGCAGGCAGGGAGAGAACAGAAAGGACAGGAACAGACACTCGAGTGGCTGCTGGACACCCACTGACGTAGACTTCAGCTCGAGGACCACGACATGACACAGTGTCGGGTGGGACACGCTGGGGGGTTCGGGGACAGGCCATTTTAGGGGACCCCTCTCACGTTCCAGCCCACATCCTCTACTCTGCCCTGTCTGCGGTGGACGTAGCCCACAACGTGTGTAACTCCGCCAGGCCCTCCGGCCCCTGAGCTGTGTGCCTGCCAGGGCAGGACCAGCCCTGGCTGCCCCAGCCGCCCGGGGGTCCTGAGCGTGTCCTTGGCAGGACAGGAGGAAATCACTCCGGAACTCCGCTACAAGCTGACCTCACCAGATACCCACTGGGAACAGGTGTCAGTGGCCCTGTCCCTTCCCTTGGGAAGAGTCCCAAGGGGAGTGGCACTGCCAGTGCCACTCCAGCTCCACTGTCCCGGGAGCCTTACCCAGCAGCGTGGAGCAGCCATCCCCCAGCGGGTAGCGCTGGTAGCGGGGGACGCCGAAGGGCGGCAGGGCATGGAAGCGCCGCTCCAGCAATGGCTCCAGCCGGGAGGCGGATGGGTCCGCGGGGTGGAACAGGTTGTACACTTGCTGGCAGGCGGGCCGCAGCTGGAACACTGCGGATGGGACCAGACGCACAGACAGCAGGTTAGGAGGCCAGGCTGGGGTCCCCGGCTGGCTCTGCCACATCGCTTTCAAATTGGATTTGTTTTTTTCCAGTGCTGGGGCTGGAACCCCATTGCACGTGCTAGAAAAGCGCTCTACTGCTAGCTACAGCCCCAACACCCCAATGAAAACTTCTCATTTTTTCCTACACAGACCACTCCTAGAATTATAAGGAAGTGTGTGAGGGTCAGGGTGCGTGCCATGACTCCCCACTTAGTGCAAAAGCTGGTGCTTTCCAGGGCAGCACCGGTGGTATCTGTGGAAGGGCCCCACTGTGGCCAGTGCACACATGTGAGTCTGTGGGCCAGCCGGGTGCGCTCAGCGGGTGGCTGTCCTTGCAAGCCTACCTGGCCCTCAGGTCCCTTGAGGCCATGGTTGCCCCGTGAGAGGGTGTGAGGTTCAGGGCCAGCATTTTAACCCAGCACCCATGGTGTTGGGTTTGGCTAGGCCTTTCTGGGGCTATTCTGGCTACCACGGGGCCCCATGGTTCCTTCGGGCTGCCCAGGTTGGGCCATGCATCATCTGTGGAGGCTGGGAGGCTCTGGAGTGCCCAGCTCACAGCTTCCCTCTGGGAAGGTCTTCCAGCTAGAGACCGGGTCTGTGCTTCGACCCTGGCAGTATCTGCTCCTAGGTGCCTGAGAGAAGCAGAGGTGTGGCATGCCAGCAACCGAGCCACGGAAGCAACCAAGGCCAGGGTCCTTGTGGGTCAGGTGGTGGGTGGGCTGGGTGGGCCGTGGCCTCAGGACAGGTCCCTGGAGACCACTAGTGGCTTGTGTCCCCTGCAGGGTTCTCACCGTCCAGGGCAGGGATGACTGTTTTCCTCAAGGCCAGAACCAGCCCCAGTGGGCATCCAAACAGGAAGAGGTCGGCGATCTCAAAGTCAAACCTGCCCAGGGCGCCAGTGCCATCCAGCATGGTGGAGCTACTGGAGCGGCGGGAGCTGGGCTCGGTCCTCAGGACGCTGGCGTGGAGGCTACAGGGGGACATGCAAGTCAAGGCCACTTCCCTCATGACAGTGGCCTGGTGCCTGTCAGGATGTTTGCAGTGACAGCCAGTTGGGTCTGCAGGGAGCTGACTGCCTTCGGCACAGTGCTGCCAGGTGGCCCCGCCCATCCCAGTGCTTCCCATGTCTCTGGATGGCCCCCAGATCCAGCAAACAGGGTCACCCTCCCTCCCTCCCTCTGGGGCCGCCCTTCCTTGCTCAGCCTGTCCCCAAAGCTTTACCTGGACAGGAAGGCCTGGTGCTGCTGGATGGTGTCCAGCTCGTAGGTGGAGGAGTCGCTCCGCTTGCGGGGCAGCTGCCTTTTGGAGTCTTCGGTGCCATCGCCGCGGGGGATGTCGATGTTGCTGCGGCTGAGGTGTCGACTGCTCTCTAGGCTGGAGCCATTGCTGCCGCCGCCGCCGCCACCACTGCCGCTGCCAGAGCATTGCGCTGTGTTCACCAGGATGCCCGGGGACAGCAGGTCAGCGTCCTGAAATGGCCCCATGGAAGCTCACTGCTGGCTGGCCACTGGACCGGACTCTTCTTCAGTGTCCAGTCCTACCTCCTGACTCCAGGCCCACACAGCCACTGCCCATCCATGAGCATTTGCCCAAGCAAATGAGGGGGAAGAGGGACACTGGTCTCCTGCGGCTTAAACCACTGGCCACATCTTACCAGCCTTCATTTGGCCCAGCTGGCTACCCAGGATCAAGTTCCCAAGGAATGCTCCCGACTCTTTTGCACCAGTGTAGAGCTTTTCTGACTCCTCAGCCTCAGTCCTAAGTGGACATCCTCCATTCTCCTGCGCCTCTCCCAGCCCTCAGATCCTGGCCTGGTAGGGAGTTACTGCAGGGGCTCAGGTGCTTGGACAGTTTGCCAAATGCACAAAATGAATGGATCTGGGCTGGGTGATGACCAAGTCAGCTCTTGAGGTCTTTGCTGGGCTCTGCTCAGGGGGCAGCAGGGGGCCAAGGTGATAAGCTTGGTGGCCTGCAGCAGGCAGTGTGGCCGGTCTACACGGCACACAGGAAACTGCAGACCTTGGTGAAGGTTTGGGGTCAATGGAGCATCCTCCCATGCTGTAGCCCCTGCTTAGGTACCTGCACGCTGACCACGCTGCCTCGGCGACTGCTGCTCTGACTCTCCGACACGGGCTGGCTGCTGTAGCATAAGGCATCGAATGCCAGGATGCCCCCAACACAGTCCCCAATCAGGCAGACCTGGAGGCAGGAGGGTCCCATTGAGGGCCACGCCCTCCCCCAACACAGTCCCCAATCAGGCAGACCTGGAGGCAGGAGGGTCCCATTGAGGGCCACTCCCTCCCCCAACACAGTCCCCAATCAGGCCGACCTGAAGTCAGAAAGGGCCCAGGGGTCTGGGTGTCCACGCCACTGTGGATGTTGAAGGGGACACCCCTGGCCCTCTGGCCAGCCCACCCTACAGGGTCTTCTCCTCTGTCCTCCACTCACCTGCCCATTGAAGGTCACGCCCTCCTGGGACTTAAGGAAATCCCCATAGGCCAGGTTGGCCCGCTGAATCACCGTGGCAACTGCCTCCTGGTACTGGGGCGAGGAAGTGGCCAGCAGTGGCAGGGCAGCTAGGGGGATGTGGTCCTGACTGCTGGACAGACAGCCCTCGTCATGGCCGTAAGGACTCAAGCTAGGGGTGAGAGGCTGGGTCAGGAGAAGGAAGGTGGCCTCAGCCCAACCCAAAGGGCCTTTTCCCTGGCCCTGGGTAGGAGGCTAGAGCTGCCCATTCCCAAGTGCAAATGGAGATGCTCCTGGACCAGGCCCTGGGCAGGCTCAGGGGACCAGGGCCCCTAGTAGATGGAGGCAGGTCAGCATCCCGCTACAGAACTGGAAATGGAGGCTTGACCTTGGCCCATCCTCCCGGAACTGAAGCTCTGCATGTCTGCACAGGTTCTGCTGCCTCTGGGCAGGCAGAAGGCTCGGTGGCAGGACAGGACATCTGGGCAGGGATCCCATCCTGGAGGAGCCCCGAGATGCTCTGGACACGGAGGGCTAGGACAGGTGCCAGTGGGCAAAAGCCACTCACTTGGAGACAAGGGCAAAGGCGTCAGCGCAGATGGGAGGGCACGGTACCAGGCGGATGGCAAGGTGGCCCAGTGCGCTGGGGTAGTGCACACGCATGACTGTGTCGAACACGTTGGCGATGGTGTTGGCATCACCCTGCTTGGAGCTGGGGTCCCCGGCGCCCGTGTCCAGGATGGTGCCTCCATGCAGCACCAGCAGCAGCACGTGGATCTTGGAGGGCGGTGTGGCCAGTGGCTGGCTCACCTCATCCTGCGTGGGCGGGAGTGGGTGTCACTGGTGTCTAGAGCCTTCTCGCTTTGGGGGAAGCCTGTCTTGACCCAACTGCTCCAGCTGAGAGCCCTGAGTTTTTTTCTTGTTTTTGGTCGGTCATGGGGCTTGAACTCTGGGCCTGGGTGCTGTCCCTCAGCTCTTCAGCTCAAAGCTAGTGCTCTACCACTTGAGCCACAGTGCCACTTCTGGTTTTCTGAGTGGTCTCACGGACTTTTCCTGCCCAGGCTGGTTTTGAACTGTGATCCCCAGATCTCAGCCTCCTGAGTAGCTAGGATTACAGGCGTGAGCCACCGGCGCCCGGCTGAGAGCCCTGATTTTGTATCTAGCTAGGGAGTCTGGGGTTTGTGGCCTAGGCTCCTCTTTGGGGTCCCTGCAGAGACTAGGCCCCTGTGGGGAAAGGCTGAAGGGACACGAAGGAGGGTCTGTCTCTCCAAAAGCACTAGCTCCTCTTCCTTCATGGCTCAGGTAGCTGTTTCTGCTTGGGCTCTCAGCTGCAGAGAAAACAGAGGCTCAGGCTGGCCTTGGCCTCGGGGTGGGGGTGGGGTCTGCTGCCCAGTATGCTAGTAGACATGGATTATCTCGGCCTGAGCAGTCAAGGCCATCGCTGACTCAGAGCCAGGCTCTGAGTTCCTCTAAGAGCTCCTTGGACCCTAGCCCCTGCCATTCCTGGGATTCTGTAAGACCAAGATTCCCAAGCGCAGAGACATCGTGGCAGCGGCAGGGCCTCATGCCTTCCTCAGGCATGAGGTCTAACGGCAACCCACAATGACATCTAGGAATTCTCTTCAGAGAAGTGATGGAGAGGAGAGGCCCAGGGACTGAGCTAGCATCACTCTGGACACACTGACTGTGTCAGCACCAAGCCAGACGGGATCACAGCTGCTGCCAAAGCTCAGGGCTCTCCCCAACAGCCCAACTCAGGCCATAGTCCTGTTCGCAGGACCCACCCCACTGGCTCCTATGTAAGCTTCGTGTGACATGGGCCTGGGAGGGGCCACAGAAGAGTACATGATACATCCACAGTGTGAGAGTGGGCTGGGGAAAGTTGCTGATGGAAACCAGCTGTGGGTCACAGGGCAGGATAACATCTGTCCCCACAGGTGGCCTGCCCAGGTTAGGGGAACAGCTGGATAGCCCTAGGCTCGTGTGACGAGGATGTTCGGGCAGTCTGTGCTGCCTGCCCGTCCCCGGGTTAGGGTTAGGGAGCTAGTCCGGTGGTGCTAACTCATCTGGGGATGAGTGGGTCTGCGCCTCGGGGCCAAGAGAATCCTGCACACGCTGGCTGGACTGAGCACGGAATTTCACCTCCCCTGAGCTCCAGAGGGAACAGCACCCCACCCCGACCCCCGCGTGCCAGGGGCCAGCTCTGGAGAGCCAGGGCACCTCGTCAGTGTTTCCGTGAGGCTGTCCCCCTTCCACAGGGAAGGTTCCACTTTGAGGGTTATTGCCAGCAGGGGGTCTGACTTGGATGGTGACGGCCCGGGATCATGCGGGTCCCACGCACACCCCGAGGCAGAGCCCAGCCCGGCCCTGCGCCTCCCTCCGGGGCAGTCAGAGCTGTGTGCAGCTGCCTCAGCCACCAGGCAGCACCTTGAAACCACGCCCTTCTACCTGCCCTTCCAGAAAAGCCCACTGAGACCTCAGACCTCAAAACAGAGGACCCCACAAGTGGAGAGAGGTGTGGATTCTCCTCCCCAGACCTTCCCGAGGGACCTGAGTCCCCCACAGAGATGCCGTCTCCACCTGAGGATTCTTGGGGCCAGGGCAGTGTGGTCACCACAGGATGGCTCCCGCGCCCAGTGCAAACAGCTCTGACTGCCCGCAGGTGGAGGAAAAGGGCACGGGCGCCAGCAAAGAACCCCCAAAGGGGACGCAAGCTCCACAGAGACGGCTTTATTGATACACTGAGCTCTGCCTGACTCCACACGCCACCTTGAAGGCCATGCCACATCACTTCTGCCTAGATGGCTTTTGCGTCCTCTCCTTCCGTCTTTTTATCTTCAGGGACAGCAGGCAGGCTGGGCATAGGCACAAGGTGAAGATCTTATTTTTCATCTGGAATTTATAAGTTTCTCATTTTACTTTCCCACAAGTGGAGCTTGGTCAAGATCTTGAGGGCTATCTGCTGTCCTTACTTCTTGGGGTTGGGGGGGGCGGTGTGGCTGGCAGATACTTCCCTAGCAAGGCTGTGAGGACAGGGCACCCTGGCATTGCCTGGCGGGGCAGGGACGTGATGCTATGGTGCAGTTCCCCGAAGCCAGGCCTCTGCACCTACCCCTCCTTGCAGCCGCAGGCAGCATAACCCTGGCTCTGCACCTACCTCGATGATGTTCAGCTGCTCCACGCTGGAGGCCACCCTGAACTCTGGGCTGCTCTGGCGGTACAGACTGTCTGCAAAACAGAAGCTACAATCTGAGCTGAGGTGTAGCAGGGCAGCCTGGTCCAAGGCTGTAACTCTGATAAGAGGAGCTTGGGGCCCAGGGGACCCAGCACTGTACACTAAGTTGGTCACCCTGCATGTTCCCTGCTTCGGGGCACCCCGCACCCCCCAAGCTGGTCACCCTGTGTATCCTCTGGCTCTGGGCTCTCCACTTTGTCCACGAGATCATTGGAGCTCCACTTGGTGATGTCCTTGGGGAACATCTCCTCCGAGTCAGACAGGTCCTCTGGGAGGAGAAAACCTTCATTGGGGTGGGGAGCCAGGGGGAAGACCTGTGTGCTGGGCTCTGCTCTCTCTTCCCTGAAGGTTGGTCATGCCCTCACACAACCGACTTTTTAAACTTGTGATAACATACATATACTACTAAAATGGACCATTTAAACTATTTCAAAGTGGCAGTGGGTACATTCCCGGCGCCGTGCCAACATTGCCATTCCCTGACTGTGGAATGGACAGCCAGTCCTCACTCTCTCGCCTTGCCACCAGTAACCAATCTGTCTCTTCCTCTCCCATCAACTGAACCACATGTAGCATCATGCTTGAGTTCAAGGCTCGTCGCCCTGGGCTATCTCCATGCTCCTTCCTTTAGATGGCTAAACCTGGTTCTTTTGTTTACCAATCCATCAGTTGATGCCTCCCTATTCCCCAGTACTAGGCATCTGAACCAGAGCCTCATGCTGACTATTAAACTGTACCTCTAGCCCTTTGGATCTATTTGTTGTTAGAGTATCTAACTTGGCCAGGGCTGGCTTGAAACTCCTTCCTCTGCCTCCCAAGTAGTAGTTGATGTCTTTGGTTTTTGTTTCAGCACTAGGTGCTCTACCACTTAACCCTGTCCCTAAGTGTGTCCTGCTGGCCAGTTAACGAAGATGCCACACTTGGGATCTCCTCTGCCCCTCCAAGCTATGGTGGCGGCAACAAGAAAGCTCACAGTGTCCCTAATTGCTGTGCATCTGTGGGCAAGTCCCTGTCTCTTTCTGAGTCCCTGTTCTGCTGCAGCAGCGAGCCTGGCTCGGCTCTCGCCCGTGGGGGAGCCGTCTCCCTGGGCTGTCTGCCTGCCTGCCTGCCGGCCCCTCTGAGGGCTGTGAGAGGACGCGGGCACTTTCATCTTGCAGCGCCAGCAAGCTGCGGGCTGTGTGCTTGCAGTGTCATTTTGGGATTAGTGGGGGAATCGGAAGCTCATCTATTCTCTGCTTATTACATTTTCTGAAGTGTCTACGTTATGTGCATATTTAATTTAGCATGTATTAATTGTATTTAATCAAGACAAAGAAGGTAAGTACAAAATAAAATACAAATACAGAACATTGTGTATCTCTTTTGGGGGGTTTTAAGAGAGAACTCTCCTCCTGCCAGGCCCACAGCACATCTTGCTGTCTGGCCAGGGTGAACTGATACCCCAGACTCAAAGAAGCTGGGCCCCTGTGATGTCATCGAGTCCTCCATGCCCGTTCCCAGCCCCTAGGCTGTCCCCGGTATAGCAGCAGGCCCCGCCTTTCCCAGGAAGACCCTAAGGGTGCAGGCATCTCCAACCTACCATGAGCATCGAAGAACTCATCGTCTGAACTCTCGTCTGAGTCCCTGGCAATGCTCTGCATCCTCCACTCCGAGATGCTGTGGCGGGAAGGGCTGGCTAGAAGGCAAAACCCCACATTGACCTCTGGCTTTCAGGGGAGGGCCCCGCAGCCTACCGTGGCAGGCAAGGAGGTGTGAAGGAAACCACAAAAGGCTAGGCAGGCATCCTCAGGAAGGTTCACCAGAGATGGAAGAGAACAAAAAGAGAGTGAAGTGCACTGGGCCTATCTGGGTAGAACTTCTTCAAAAGGAGCTCCTGCCGGAGTATGGGCACAGGCAGGCACGGTGTGTAAGCCCAGGACATATGCTTGCTCACATGGGTCTGAACCATGAACCAACCCCTTAAATTGGGCCATAGCACAGTACACAGTGGTGTGCACTGCAGGGTCAGCAGGGGAGATGTGGATCTGCTCTCACAGCCGGGCCTAGGGCCAGCCAGACACACAGGGCTGGAAAAGCGGGCTTGCAGAGGGCAGGCAGGGCTGCACAGGGGGCCTGCTTCCTTGTCCTAGAATCTGATGCCATGTAGGCCCCTCCACATGAGCCAGACCCAGACCCATCTAGCTGCTGTCTGTCTTGCTCTGGGCTATGCAGATGTCTGGGGCCTGCTGGGTGAAGGTCCCAGCTTCATTGCCCGGAGCCTGGTGTCAGAGAAGAGCTCTGCCCCCAGGGGGCTGAGTCCCACACTGCCCATGTGGAAGGGTGAGGAAGGGAGGGAAGGCCCTCTACCAAAAGTCAGGGATCCTGGCACAGGGGCTGGCTGGCACGGAAGCTCACCTCCCCGCTTGGATGACCGTGAAGACTTGGAGGATGTGGACCACTGCTTCTTGAGGCCCCGCCCCACCAGGGGCTCCCCGTTGCTGCTGCTGGGCTCAGGTGGCACCCCAGATGCCTGGTCCTGGGTGGTGTGGTCCTTGGCAAGCTCCATAGCTCCCTCATCATCGGTAAACTGGGCCATCTTGCGGGACAGCATGAGCTGTGCCTCCCTCTCCAGCTCACGGATGTTTTCCATGCTCAGCCCATACCACTCATCCTGCCAGCACCAGGCCTGCCGGTGGGCCCGTACCATTACCCGCCGCAAGCCTGCATGGGGGCAGGGGGCAGAGGAGGGCTCCGGGTCAGAGATGGCCCACAGCAGCGCTGGCCCAGGTCCAGCTGCACTCAAACTGAAAATCACAAGCTGGATGTCAGTGGCTCATGCCTATAATCCTAGCTACTCAGGAGCCTGAGATCTGAGGATCACAATTCAAAGCCAGTCCTGGAAGGAAAGTCCATGAGACTCTTATCTCCAATGACCCACCAGAAAACCAGAAGTGGTACTGTGGTTCAAAGTTGTAGAGCTCTAGACTTGAGTAAAAGAATTCAGGGACAGCGCCCAGGCCCAGAGTTCAAGCCACATGACTGACCCAAAAAACAAAAATTACAAACCACGGCTCATCTATGCTTCAGTTTCTCTGCCTGTAAATCAAGGGGACAGTGTTTCTGCCATTAAAGCAGAAGTGCCTCCTCAGTAACGTGTTTGGTCAAAAGCCACAATTAATTTAGGGAGAGTTCTGTCTCAGGAAGTAGAATAGGACTTCCCAAGTCTCTCGTCTACTGCCAGCTCTGCTTTTACTATAGAAGTTCAAATTCACAATGGATTGTGCCTCCTCTTTAAAAATGCCACCAGTAGGATATGTTATTTGCATGTGACAGATAAGAATATATTATACATGAGCTGGTTACCAGCAGCTCAGGAGGCTGAGATCTGAGGATCATGGTTCAAAGCTAGCCTGGGCAGGAGAGTCTGTGAGACTCTGATCTCCAATTAAGCACCAAAAAAAAACCAAAAGAGGAAAGCTGTGGTTCAAGTGGTAGAGTGCTAGCTCGCCTTGAGCAAAAAAGTTCAGGGACAGTACCATTCCCAGGCTCTGGGTTCAAGCCCCAGGACCCACACAACAAAACCTCCCAGGGATATATTATATATATACAATAGGATATACTAATATATATAAAGTCTATGTAGCTTAGGCTGATTTAAATTTAAATCATCCTGCCTCCTGAGTGCTGGGATTACAGGCATGTCCCACTATGTCTGACTTAATAACACACCTTTTAAGGCATAAGGAGTAGCTGGGGAGTTACAGAGGCAGACAGCACAGTGGGGAGGCTAAGAACAGGTCACTTCTGGGGAGATGTGACACCGTGAAGCTTTGGTGCACAACTGGGAATGAACACGTGTCTCAAGGCTGACCTAAATGCTCTCTTCCACAATGAACCAGAGGGTGTGTGCCATCACGCCAGCTTGCTGAGCAAACAATGAGAAAGCTCTGAGCTCAATCCCCAGTGCTACAACCAAACCAAAAGTGGCTCCTCACCGCCCCCCCCAAATATTCACAGAAAATAAAAGAGGCCATCAACCCGTGTCTATCCACAGGCTCCCGCACACACTCCCGGGAGAGCCCGTCCTGAACGTGTTACCTGTGTTGCTTGGCCTTATCACAAGGTGTATTGTGTTTTCCTGCACAATGTGTGGGACTGCTTTGGCCGTTCTGAAGTGTGCACGCGTGTTCTGCCATGTGTGTTTTCTGCCGCTTGCTTCTCTGGCGAGTTTTATCCGTGTCGGCACTCGTGGGGAGCTCAAGGGCACTGGGCTGGCTGCAGTGCAGTGTTTATGTATTTGCGACACCACATTTCATGTACTCCTTTTCCTGCCCGCGGGCCTTTGGCTCATTTGCACTGTTTTTCTGTTTTGTGACTCTGAACATTCTGGAATGTGAGTGAGTCTCACTAGTGGCCAAACCCAGAAGGAATGGTGGCTGGCTCTCAGGGCATACATCCTCCTCCTTCCTCCCACTCCCCTCCATCAGCTGGCGCTGTCTACGTCCTGGCTGGACCATGAGGTGGGTGAGACATGGCACTGACCAGCCTCTGTTCTCTCCTTGAGGTGTGGGGGAGGGGGGCAGGGCTGGGGCAGACTGAGCAGGGCTGTTGAATCCCTCCCCCAGCCTATCCCATGTCCTCAGTGAGGTGAAAATCACTCCCACCTAGGAAGTAGGGTCCACAACAGGAGGTGTGAGGCCTAGGTTGGCAGGCAGGCCTGACACCTGGGCTGTTTCGAGGATGATGTCCTCCTGGCCTGGGCCTGAGAGTTGGGGAAACGGGTTCCTGCCTGTGAGCTCTGGGTAATGGGGAGCCTGGCTTAGGTCATCTCGATTCCCATGTGGTTAGGTAGCCAGTGGGACAGGATACGTCTTTCTCCTCTGATCACCCTTCCTGGCTCCTGCAACAGACATTAACGCAGTGCACATGCCTGAGAGTCGGCCCTGGGGTAGAGCTGCCACGCCACCACACACCATCAAGGCCCTGGCCACACTGCATCTGCTGCGGGCACAGAGCCACTCTCGGGTCCCAGCACCGGCACTGCAGGAGCCCATCTAATGAGACACCTCTACCACCAGGGTACAGAACATTTGTTCGGGATGCAGCCCAAAGCCAGGTCTCTGTTCCCTCCTGTGTGAACAGGGTCGTCCCGGGTGTGTGTGACAAGGCTGAAGTGTGTTCTCAATGGTGTGGCTCTGTCCACGTCGAAAGTAAGCTGTCCTTGGTCAAGGCATCAGGAGGTATCTGCCCAGGGTGTCTCTCAGGCCGTGAATCTGGTGTGGGACTAGCCTGGGAACTAATGCCTTGCCACAAGGGGACAGGCAGCAGCCAAGAGGCTGTAAAGAGGGTGGAGCCTCAGCGAGCACTCACTGGGCTGGAAGCTCTCAGGCGATTATGGGCACCTGCTCTGTGCAGGCCTGTGTGTGTGTAAAAGGCATTACAAAGACTGAGTTGCTCTGTTGCCTGGCTCTCAAGTCTGTGGTGGAGGCACAGCTGTGGGCTGAACCTGGGGTCTGGGTCTCCTCAGGTAGAGAACACGAAGGCCCGAGTCAGAGGCCTTGGTCCCTGCTGTCCTTGCTGGGGCTTCTGGCCTGAGTGGGGTCTAGACTACATGCTAACAGACACAGCCAGGTTGGGGACCTCTAGGCATCGGACTGCAAGCACAGATGGTCCCAGGATGGGGACACGGGTTTTGGGGTCACCTTTCAGGAATGAAATGGGGGTTGAGAATCTCAGGCAGACATCCAGTGCAGGCGGCCTGGGGTGAACTCACCTGTATCGTGGATGAACCTCTCGATCTTGGACTGCATGCCCCAGTAGCGGAACTCCACCTTGCAGAGCTTGTAGGCACACATGATGGGGAGGAGGCGCCTCTTGTACTCCTCAATCCAATTGTCCGACAGCGGGCCCCGATGGGTCTTGACTGACTGGAACAGCTTGGGATCTTCCTCAGTCTTATACTCGTTGGGGGGAACAGGGTCCTTGACGATGTCGATGAAGTCTGTGGGGACAACCCTGCAAGTGGGCATATCTGCCTGACCTTCACCCTGTACCCCCTAGGACTCCGTCTACCCTGAAGGCCTTGTATGGCTCTGGTCCTGCCATGTGGAAGGACAGTGAGGCTTCCCGGCCATCTTTCTGGAAGTCAGGTCAGGGAAACCCAGAGTCCATGTGCACCCTGCCATCAGGCAGAGCAGGGAGGTGAGGCAGTGAGCTAGGGTGCATCGGAGGGCGAGCTTTCCTGGAGAATGATGGGGCAGAGACGGGTGAGAAGGCTACAAGAGTGGGTGTGTGAGGCCAAGTGTCCCCGTAACACTGATGGGGTCTTGGGAAACGCCAGGATGTGTGTATCGGGGAGGGAGGACAGTTCTCCCAACCACCCTGAGCCAGGTCAGCCCTGTTACACAGGGCTTTTAAGCTGGCTGGAAGGGACCCAGCCTGGCTGACTAATTGCAAAACCCATCTGGGAAGAGGGGACTGCAGAACTGCATTTGGCCCACAGATGTGTTTTGTTTGATCAGCCTAAGTCTATTTAGCAATTTTTCATTAGTGGCCAATGTTTCAGAACTGGAAGATTTCGCATGAAAATCCTGATCTCTGGCCTCTTTTAAAAAAGATCCAACAAATGGGGCCTGCTTTGTGCAAAGTGACAGCGGCTGAAGGAGAAGAGAGGCCACATGCTGCAAGGGGACATAGGCCCTGTTATGTGCCACATCCCCTGGCCCATGTGGCTGTCAGCCTGAGATGGCTCTCCAAGACTACACGGCCCTGAGTGCACATGTGCACTGGTGGCATACAGGGAGAGGCCTTTAGACATGGAGTTCACGTCAGGATCCCAGAGGTCTCTCCTGCCTCACTCTCAGGCTCTGACACTTACTGGGACTCCAGCTGCTCCTAGGAGGGTAGGGCTGAGGGGCCCTGCAGGGCTGGTCCTCCTGCTCACCTGTTATCAGCTGGTTCTTCTCCACAGGGGACAGGCTGAACACATCAGGATTTTCCCCAGCATCAGTCTTATAATAAGTCTCAATGTCGATGGAGAACTTCTCCACGAAGGGGCAGGTGAACCTGAGGGGAAGCACAGTGTCCACTGGGACAGTGCAGGGAGGGGCTGGGGCTGCCTTTTGGAGTAGGAATGAGGTGGGAAAGGAAGGAGGGTGTGGTTGTCTGAGATACAACAGCTCCATCCATGTCCTGGATCTTTACCTTGTCCCAAGAACAGCCCTGGGAGAGGGATGGGTTTAAGAAGAGGGGTTTGGGGGCTGGGATGTAGCTCAGTGGCAAAGCGCTTGCCTAGCAAGTGCAACGTCCTGGGTTCAATCCCCAGTACCAAAAAAGAAAAGAAAAAAAAATACAGTAAAAAAAAAAAACCAAATAAAGAAGAGGGGGTTGACCAAGTACCAGTGGCTCACACCTGTAATCCTAGCTACTCTGGAAGTTAAGATCTGAGGATCATGGTTTGAAGGCAGCCCAGTTAGGCAAGTCTATGAGATTCTTATCTTCAATGAATCACAGAAAAAGCCAGAAATGGCTCAAGTGAAAGAGTGCCAGTCTTGAGCAAAATGAGCTCAGGGAAAGCTCCCAGGCCCAGAGTTCAAGCCCTAGGACAGGCAAAAAAAGAAGAAAGAAGGAAGAAGAAGAAGAGAAGGTGGGGGGGGGGGGGGGGGGGGGGGGGGGGGAAAAGGAGGGGGGGACAGCAGGGAGAGCTGCTTCTAGAAGGCTTGTATCTGGTGTCCAGGTGCTCATGGTATGGTATTAGGCAAGCACAGTATGGCAGCTGGCATTCTGCAGGGTGGAGGGATCTCGGCCCAGCCACCTTTCTGGGGTAACAGCTCCTCTCTGGGCTAGAGCAGAGCTCCTGAGGTTCAGCACTTCCTGTGTCTGAGGAAAGCAGGCACCCTGGGAGGCTGTTGGAGAACATTCTACCCAAGAGGGTGGCTGGCGGGAGGAGCAGTGTTCAGCTCTGCACTTGGCACAAAGTGAAGACCCCCTTCGGAGGAGCCCCAGGGAAAGCCCTGCCCAGCATGTGACACAGTAAACACTGTCACAGGAGCTGAAGATCTCAGAGCCATCGATGTGGTCTATTCTCAGTTCACATTTCTTTCAGCAGGCTGGCTATCGGGCTTCTTGGGAGAACTTAGGAGTGAGCTGGCATTCTCTGGATTTCCCAGATGGCAATGGAGTGTCCAGTATCCCCCACTCAACTCCTGCCCTTGTGGCCTCCACCCCTGGGCAGTCTGGGAAGCATCCAGAGTACATAGGTTTTTCTGTGTATGGTTGCCCTGGGGAAACTTTCAGGCATCCATCTGGGACAGAGCCCTAGGGGTGCACTGATTAAGCCTACCTGAAGGTTCCAGCCCATGGGCCTAGGCCATGAAGTTCCTCCCCCGGCCCCCAAGTGGCATGTGGAAGAGAGGGCAGAGGCAGCGGCACCTGGTTCTGGTGTAAGGGTAGGCGTTCCAGGATTCCTCCACCACTCTCAGGGCCGCCTTGGGCAAGATGGAGCGGAACCAACTGGGGATGTGCATGCCCACGTGGTACACCTTGTGTGTGTACTGCCCAGAGCCGCCAGGACCATCTGTGTAGGGTCGGTTTTCCAGGATCTCCACACCGCTGCCTTCGCCATGGGTCTCATTACGGCTCTTCTTCTGTGGGGACAAAGCAATGTCATGTGTGGTCAGGGCACTCTGTAGAATGGGCTGGGGGGTGGGGGGGAACCAAGCCCAGGTGTGGAATGGGCAGTGGCTCTGGCCATGAAGCTGCCTCCTCCTGTGCCACTGCAGAAGCCTCCCCTCAGTTCTAGACCTTGACTCCACGGGCTCCAAGGCTCTCCAAGGCTCTCTAAGCCCCAGGACACACTGACTCCTGACTGCTCACAAGATGAGGAACAAGACGAGGATGCCAACTTGCTTGCTCCTGTCAGTTCAGGATTGGAGAGGCTAGCTACAGTAATTAGGCAAATGAAAGAAGCAATATGAGGCATCAAATGAGAAAGGAAAAAGTGAAATAATCTTAGTTTACTGATGACATAATCTAAATTTATATTAAAAACTCAAAGGAATAGTCCCCAAGTAATAGTCCCCAAGCTTAGAGAAGTTGCAGGATACAAAATCAACACAAACAGGAAATGAAGAAGTCAGTGTAGTAACAATAGCAGCCGAAAGAGCACATACTTGCAAATAAATTTAACCAGAGGTGAAAACTTGTGCATTGAACCCCTAAACTGTTGCCTCTTTCTCTGCCCTGCTCAATTTCCTGGTCCTAGATCAGTCACTGATGCTGTTGGCTGGGTACCGACCACATGCCCTGCTGCACTTCCCCAACCCCTCCAAGGGTCTCCCTCCATAGCCCTATTGGACAAACTGGCTGCCAAGAGTGACTCAGCCTCACAGATGAGCTGTACCTTCTCCTGACCATAACTCTGACATCTCCTTTACAGCTGATGGAGGCAGCCAGCTCACAGCAAGAAGCAGGCTTCCTGCTCCCTGGATGGAGGAGACATCTATCAGAGAGCCAGGGTGTCCTAGGCTCAGAGTATCACTTGGGAGAATGAGGGCTGTGACCTTATGCTGGGCTGGGTCACTGAAGCAGCCCCTCTGAGTGTGTGTGTGTGTGTGTGTGTGTGTGTGTGTGTGTGAGAGAGAGAGAGAGAGAGAGAGAGAGAGAGAGAGAGAGAAAATGGGAGTGCAGAAGTGCTTACTCAGGGTTCTTCAAAGTGAGTGTATGGAAGCTGTCTCTCTTTTTTTTTTTAATTGTGAAAATACCGTACAGAGGGGCTACAATTACACGGGCAAGGTACTGAGTACATTTCTTATCAAGCATTGTTGCCTCCCGCTTTGTTTCCCTTTCCCATCTCCCCCCCCTCCATCCCCAAGCTATGTTGGAGAAGACTCCAGAGGCAAAGACTTAATACAATAGATAAGCACAATGCCCTGGACAGGAAGCAAGTGAAGGCCAGTGCAGTGGGGAAAGCAGCAGGGATTTTGGTAGGACCCCCAGCAGCACAGAGGGCCACAAAGTCCCCTAAGGTCATGATGAACTAAATTTAAAACCCTCAGAAGAAAACACAGCATATACATCTTTATGACTTTGGATGAGACCATGGTTTTAGACCCATGAAACCAAAATTACAAGCAACAAAACAAAATCAGATAAACTTGACTTCATTGAAATTAACTCCTGTGTCTTAAAAGACCTTGAAAAGAAGCTAAAAGAAAGCCATCCCTGTAGTTCTAGCTACTCTGCAGGCTGAGATCTAAAGACAGTGGTTCGAAGCCAGCCAGGGCAAGAAAGGCTGTGAGACTTGTATCTCACTCTTATCTAAGTATCCCCAAATAATCTGGAAGTGCAGCTATGGCTTAAGTGGTAGAGCACTAATGTTGAGCGGAAAAGCTAAGGGATAATACCCAGGCTCTGGGTTGAAGCCCTAGTACCACAAAAAAAAGGGGGGTCAAATGTGGATCACCTGGATCACTTAAGTGTCTCTGGCCCCACTGTCCTGCCCACTGTCCAGAGGTCAGCTTTCTGCTTATTCAAAGACCTTATGTTTGAGGTGCTGGTGACTTTAAACCCAGCATCTGTTTCCATGGCAACATGACGGCATAGCCAAGGCCATCTTCGGTCAGCTCTTGAACAGCAGCTGTGTCTGAGAGTGCACACCTCTGTGCACAGATGTGAGTGCGCACACAGCGGCTCTGAGGATACAACCTCTGCAGGGCATAAGGATGTGCTCCAGTACCAGGACCCAGAATGACTGGACCTCTTTGGATAAAATGAGGGGAAAAAAAGGCCTTGGTGGAGGCCAGAGATGTGGTTAGACATCTGTGTGTACCGCATGCCCCCAAGCTCCTGGACTGTGGACCAGATTCACAGCACAAGCAGATCCTGAGTCAGGGATCTATCTATATTCCTGCTTCTCACACTGGCTTCCTGCCATAGCTATGCATGGTCTTATTTATTTATTTATTGCCAGTCCTGGGTCTTGAACTCAGGGCCTGGGCACTGTCCCTGAGCTTCTTTTTTTTTTTTGGGGGGGGGGTCCGGTTGTGGGGCCTGAACTCTGGGCCTGGGCGCTGTCCCTCAGCTCTTCAGCTCAAGGCTAGCGCTCTACCACTTGAGCCACAGCACCACTTCCGGCTTTTTTCTTTTTGCTTATGTGGTGCTGAGGAATTGAACCCAGGGCCTCTGGCATGCAAGGCAAGTGCTCTACCACTGAGCCACCTTCCCAGCTTCTTTTGCTCAAGGTTAGCACTCTACCACTTGAGCCACAGTGCCACTTCTGGCCTTTTCTATTTATGTGCTACTGAAGAATCGAACCCAGGGCTTCATGCATGCTAGGCAAGCACTCTACAACTAAGCCACAATCCCAGCCTGCATGGTCTTCTTTACTTCCTGTGTTACCCCCAGAGCAATGGCAGGACCATAGACCTCAATCTGCAGATGACAGAGTCTAGTATAGACAATGGTGACTTGTCCCTCGTTGCACGACTTTATACAGCAGAGCAAGGTTCTGAGTCTGTTTGACTCCAGGACCTGCTCAGACTGCACAGCTTTAATTGCCTCAAGGAAAATTCACCAGCCCACAGCAGATGTTTAGTAAGCATCTGTTGCTATAATAAATGGATTCTATCCTTGGGCTCTGGTGGCTCATGCCTGTCATCCTAGCTATTCAGGAAGCAGAGATCTGAGGATCACTGTTCCAACCCAGCCTGGGCAGAAAAACCTGTGAACTCTTATCTCCAATTGACCACCAGAAAATCAGAAGTGGAGCTGTGGCTCAAAGCCATAGGCAGAGCAGTAGTCTTGAGCAAAAAGATCTCAGGGACAGTGCCCAGGCCCTGAGTTCAAGCCCTCAACAGACAAAAGAAAAAGAAAGAAATGGATACTAAACTCAATTTTGTGGCCAACTCCTTCTCAGCCCGGAAAAGGATCTTCAGTTAAAATGAGGATAGCTGCTAATCTATACAACCCCCTTGATCGATATCCACCTAGAGCCTCAGCATGAGACCTTGTTTGGAAGGAGCGTCCTTGTAGATTTAGGCAAGTAAGCTGCCACAGACTGGGTCCACCAGCAGCTGGGAGAGACAAGGAAGGAGCTATCTACCCTAACAGCCTGCCTCTGAATTGTAAGAAAACAAACCCCAGTTGCTTTGGGGTGGGGTGAGGACCTAAGTCTCTGAGAGTGGAAGATATGGAGAACTGGAAAAAGGGCAAGGCAAGAGAATGCCCTTCCACTCTGGCATCATGGGGTGGGGGTGGGGGGCAGAAACACAAAAGTTGCCACTCACTCAGGCAGGCCTAGGCCTCGCTGTCTCCAGAGGCCTCCTGGAAAGGTCAGCCAATCACTAAGCCCCTCTCACCAAGGGCTCTAGCCAGGCCCCTTCCTTGCCTCTTTAGCTCCTGGTAGCTCCCAGGAATCCTTAGCTTCTCTGGGTGATGACAATCTTCCTCCTATCTCTGCCTCCGGTCTTCCCTGGTTTCCTTTTTGCCCTTCTTATGGGAACAGCTGTCATTTAATTTAGGGCCCATCCTAAGCTCAAGATGATCTCTCAAAGTCCTTAACTAATAACTCTGTCCAGCCTGGTGTACACCTGTAATGGCAGCACTCTGGGGGCAGATGCTGTGAATGTGTGAATCTGAGGCCAGCCTGGGCTACATAACATGCCCAGGCCAGGCTGAGCTATGAGACTAAAGAAAACGAAGTAGATACACAAAGACCTTACTTCCAAGCAAACCATGTTCCCAGCCACATATGGATGTGGATTGTTAGTAGGGCGTTAGTCAACCAGCCAAGCGAGCATCCACCATGGCCCAGGACTAAGCTTTCGCTGCGGCTTGTCACCTGCTTCAGCATCATGCTGCACAGCCACACCTGCAGCTGCAGGACATTTCCTGACTCTCAGTTAATCACAGCACTCCAGCTGGCTGTCCACAAGGGGGACGCAAGCTGTGTGTGCATGTGGGGATGGGTGTGAGTGTGGGGGAGGAGTAGGCTTGTGTAAGGAAAACGAGGGCAGAGGGTTGGTTTCCTGCTCCAATCCTTAAAGCTATGACTTCAGAGAAGGTAAGAGACTCTCAAGCGTGCTCCATGTGTGGAAAGGGCCAGCCATGTCTCCAGGCAAGGAGTGGCCTCAGTGGGTCAGCTGTGCATCTCTGATAAGATCCCTGATGTCTCCGGGCGCTGGTGGCTCACCCCTGTAATCCTGGCTACTCAGGAGGCTGAGATCTGAGGATCACGGTTCAAAGCTAGCCCGGGCAGGAAAGTTTGTGAGACTCTTTATCTCTAATGAACCACCAGACAACGGGGAACTGGTGCTGTGGCTCAAATGGTAAAGCACTAGTCTTGAGCTGAAGAGCGGAGGGACAGCGCCCAGGCCCAGAGTTCAAGCCCCACAACCGACAAAAAAAAGAAAAAAAAAAAAGATCCCTGACACCTGAGCCTCCTTGTCTGTAAGGGGCTGGAAGGAACAGCACCCAACACCCACTGTGCGGGTATCACGGGGACTAACGCAGACAATGTCCTTCAGGCTCAGGGCACTGTGCTTCTGTCACCACCCCAGCCACTCATAGGGAATCCAGTGGTGGCTCAGTGGCGTGGGCACCACAGCTGGTAACAGCAGAGCTAGAATGGCCCTGGTCTGTGCGACCCACGTGGCACTCTGGAGCCTCTGCCCAGGAGATACTTGGTAAAGACTCAACCACTGCCACTGCATCTCTGGGACAATCCTCGGGAGCAGGCTGACCCCAGGGTCCCCAAGGATATCATAAGATGGGGAGGGGGGGAAGGAGCCTGTCCTAGCACAGCCATAGCTCAGTCAGGCCATGGCGCAGGAAGCGGCGCCTCCTATCAACCGATGGTGACCTGGGTGGGTAGACAGGTCACTGTCCTGGGGCTGCTGAGGAGGAAAGGGGGCAAACACTGAGAAACCCTGCAGGGAGCAGCCCTCTGAGCTGTCCAGGGTCCTGAGTAAGCACCTCGAGCCCCTCTTGGCAAAGTGTTGCCAAGCACCTCACAGGGGCTGGTGTGTTCCAAACACGCTCCCAGCCTTCACTCCCTCTGAGCATGCTAGCACTTGGCATGAAACACAGTTCCTGGTGAAACCTGGCTAGTGTGGCACATATGCTTGCTCACCAGACGTACAAAGGCCTGGAAGCTCAGAGCAGCAGAGGACTCTAGCCAACACTAAGAGGTCACTCTGGCTCAGTTCATGCAAAAGGGACGCCCATCCACTGGACCCAGTGGCAGTGTTGATGCTCATGATCTGAAAGGTGGGAGACATTTACATCTACCAAAATCCTAGTTCACAGGTCAGTAGTCACCAAATGACACTGCACGTGCCAGTCCAGCAAACTGCAGAGCAGATGAAGGTGTGAGCATCGCATGAGCTGTGATGCTCACGTGATCACTCAGCAGCTACATTCATCAGAAGAAGGACTGGAATGTGTGTGGAGGAGCCCAGAGAGGATGGATTCTAAGCTTGAGAAAAGCCTGGGACGACCCTTCCCAGAGGCTGGACGTCTGTCCTCCTAGACTCCAACAGTCCACAGTCAGATTCCTAATCAGTGTGGTGGGGCTGAGGCTGTCAGCATGGCCAGGTACGGCTCTGCCTGCTCTGATCAGGGGCTCATTGCTGGGATGGGAATTGAGAAGCCACGGGACAAATGACAGCTTTTCAGCTGAGTCTGGTTCTTGAACAGGCTGAGCTATTTCCAGAGTGCTCAGAGCTAGGGCCTGATTTAAACCTCTTCCTCTCCCTACTCTCCAGAAATAATTAGGGGGTAAGTGGTTCAAGAGGAAATTGAGTGGCGCTTCTGAAGCAGCTCAAAGCAAACAGCCCCTCAGAGAGGCCGAGGGCGCCTCCTGTTCTCTTCCAAGCTGAGTGTACCATGACGGGAGCCTGGCTAAACCCTGGCAGCGCCTTCAAGCCCCTCCCGGACGGCAGCTGGGCCTCCACCATCTGCTGGGGGCTCACAACACCTCCCTGATCTGGGCTGGGCTATGAACCTACAAGAAGAATCCAGCTGCCAGCTGTGGCTCCCTGTCCCCTATCGTGAGCCAAGGGTCCAGTGTGAGGCCATAACCGAGGGCAGTGCAGCCAGAAGCTGACCCAGGTGCCCAGAAGAGCCATGTTCAAAATCAGTGTGGCCCTCAGCATGAAGGAAGGCCACCAGGCTGGGCAGAAAGTGCAGAGTGAGGGCCTGGGCTCAGCAGTGAAGCCCATGCTCTAGGCTGGCCAGCACTGAGGGAGCCTAGCAATGTCCTCAGGAGAGGGTGATGGTCTCTGGCTCCTCAGAGAGCCCAGCACCCTCAGACTCAGGTGTGGCAGTAAATGAGCCATGCTCCACACTGCCGTGACTGTGTAAGCCCAGGTCGTGTGCTCTTGTGAAGTCATAACTCCTCCGCATCACACTGTGGCACAGGGGCTGATGCTGGGTCTGCTCCAGCTTCCCACACTGATGGGTGGTAGAGATGGGAGCTCAGACGGGTCAGGGGTGGCATGGTGAGGTTAGTGTGCATTCCCCCATCCCTCACACCGCACGAGGGCACAGGGGAGAGTTGCACATACGAAGCCAGGAAGACAGACCTCACCAGGAACCAGAGGTGCCTGTGCACCCGGCCTGCCGCGGCGCCCCGGACTCACCTGTATCATGTAGAGCTGGGCGATGCGGTACTCCTCCACAGTCATTGGCAGAGGAATCCGGTATTCCTTTATAATCATCTTGGAGTCCACGCCTTCCCGGCGATGGGGAACTGCGCTTGTGTGGGGACTTCTAGGCAAGGTTCCTTAAATAACCATGATAGGATTCACCAAGGACCCCTGAGAGGGGGGGGAGGGAGAAGAGAGAAGGAAAGAAGGAGAGAGGGAAAGAGGGAGAGAGGGAGAGAGCACAGTCACATTCTGCGAAGGCTGGCTGGTGCTTACATAGCAGGGAAAAGCTCCGGTCTAGACCCGAGGCTAGAATTCTGGTTCTGAACAGTGTGACCTGCATGAAATTCCTCACTTCTCTGGCCTCAGCTGTTTCCTTGTTTGCTAAGCAATCGTGAGGGGCTGCGGGCAGGAACAAGAGCTCTCCAATCACCACAGCCTCAGGAAAGTGAAGGGTGGGCAGCCTGCTCCCCACCTTGGAGGAGGGGCACTGTGCTTTTTGCCTTACAATCCCAGCAAGCCACAGCCTCAGTTCCCCCGTGGCGCACGACCCGGTGGCTGGTCATGAGGAAGAAGGCAGGACAAATGAAACGAACAGAGGCAAGGAATACAATCTCGGCGTGGAGCCTGACTGCTGAGGCAACCAGCCCTGTCACACGTGATTTACGCAGGATCGCCACACACTGGCGCAGGACAAGCTCAAGCTTGGTTCCAGTTCTACCCAACCACACACAGCTCCGTTTCCAATGACAACACTGCGCTAGGTCTTAGGGGTAGAAGAGATTAAATCAGATAATCCAGCAGAGTGCTCAGACCAACTCATTTTTTTTTTCCCTCTTTCAAGACAGGGTCCCAACTGGGCATTGGTGGCTCACACCTATAATCCTAGCTACTCAGGAGGCTGAGATCTGAGGATTGCTGTTCAAAGCCAGCCCAGGAAGGAAAGCCTGTGAGACTCTTATCCTCAACTAGCAAAAAGCCAGAAGTGGAGCAGCAGCTCCAGTGGTAGAGTGCTAGCTTTGAATGAAAAAGCCAAACAGGAATTCAAAGCCCTTACCATCTCCCCCCAAAAACCAAACAAACCAGGGTCTATGTAGTGCACACTGTCCTGAAACTCACTATCTTGCTGCCTGTCTCTGGGGTGCTGGGATTATAGGCCTTCATTATCACGCCTGGCACAACTTCTTTTTAAGATGATTAAGACTATACTTGATACTTGAAGGTTAGCACTTAATGCAATCAACTTTAAAAGATAACCATACTTGCTCAGTGCTTGATCCCCCCTCCACCAGACGCTGCTGCCCGTGTGATCCATCCTGATGGCCGAGGCTTTATGCAAGTACTGCTGGGTTGCCTGAAGCTTCCATGCTATTCCAGGCGTCTAAGGCCGGGAGGACAGAGCTAGGGTATACTTTAGAAAGCCTGCTATAGGGAGGCTAAGGAGGCCCTGATCTCCACAGGGCAGGTAAACCTCAGCTGGCACTAAAGCATTAGTGGCTCTCTAATAACACCAAGTAGGGCATTAACCAGAACTCTCCTGGATGGACGCGTGGGGAGGGGATATGTCACAGAAACATGATAGCCATCGCAACCCACGCCTGGCTGCCTGACCTGAGCTACACAGCTTATCTCTGGCTCTGGCTTAAGCAGAATTCACTTCCTCCTGGGCCTGGAGCGCAGAGGTCTTCCTGAGCGGGCTTCAAAGGGAAGGGCAGAGCCAAACCACAGCCTGGAGCTGGCCAGTTGGGAAAGATTTAGTGAAGGTATTTAGGGTTTGGCTCCGGGGCCCCAGGAGCTGGCAGGGAGGAGTTGCTTCTGGAGACACCCTGACTAGGAGGAAGGAAGGGAAGGGGGAAGAGTTTTTTCAGGATTAGCTCAAGTTTGACGTCAGGGACAGGACTTAGAATGGAAGGCATCCACAGGCAGTTCAGCTGCACTCTACTCAGTATGGAAGCTGCCCGAAGCCAGGCCAGCAGACACCTAATTTGGCAGACTCGGGAAGGGTAGTATGAGAAAGAAGGGATCCCTGGGATGCAGTGACTCATGCACACTAGAACCTTCCTGCTGGTCAGGAAGGCCCCTCCTTGGCCCTCTGCTCCCCAGGCTGGGAGCCAGGAGGGTATGGAAGTCAGCCCTATGGCTGCCCCCAATCCCTCTGAGCATGGGGATGAAGGAGGTGAGAGGCCACCTGCAGGGCAGAGGAGAGAACAGCCCTAGGCCTGGGCTGCTCTGGATGAGCCCGGATGGTCAGCACTGACCAGCAGTCTCTAGGAAGGAGAGGCCGCATCCTGCCCAGTCCTCCAGCCCTACCCCAAGGCAGTTCCACCTTCACCTCACAGACTCTGGGCGTCCAAACTAAGACTAGCACCAACAACCTTCACCTTATGAAGGCGGAGACTGAGGCTGGGATCCGCTCTTCCAGCTCTCCTGCTTTCCTAGGCAGGGCAGGAAAAAGAAGGTACTGAGCAGAGGACAGAGCCCTTGTCTTTCCATGTCTGCCAGGGCCTTGGAGCAGGCCTGGCCCTCCCTGCCCTGGATGGTAAAGAGGTGGGCTGGGCTCAGCGAGCCCCAAAGACCTGCGTACTGCTGTGGTTGCTGGAAGTCTCAGAAGGATGTAAATGTCCGCACTGTGGGGCTGGAGTGACAAGCCAGGGTGACTGCCAAGTCACTGCAGGACTTGCCAGCAGACCCCATGGCCTGGCAGCCGCCTAGGGGCACGGCAGGGGTGTAGGACTCTGTGGGGAATTTCACATGTGATCCCTCACCCAAGTCAGCACTGGAGAAGGCGGCGCCCTGCCCAAGGACAGCCGCACATCAGGGGTGCTGGTTTATGACTCCTCCCCGGCCTGGCTGCCAGCACCTCGACCTTGACTGAGGACAAGGGCAGGAAAAGCCTGTGTATGAGGATGTGACACTGACTGAAACCCACGTCATGGAGCAGGGCCTTGCTGGAACTACCTCCATCCAGTCTGCTGGAGACCACCAGCCAGTCTGAACTTCATGCCCATAGCAAATGCTCACTGGACACCTGCTAGGAGCCAGATGGGAGCTGAGGGTACTGGGAACCGAGGCTGAGTCCTCAGGGGGGGTTATAGTACTGACGAGTCATTAAAGCCTGACAGAAAATAATATTCAGTCTTAAGAAGGAAGTATTGATACATGCAACCACTTGGATGAGCCCTGAAGGTACTAAGCTAAGTGAAAAATACTAGTTCAAACCAGGTATGGCGGTGTATGCCTGTAATCCCAGCACTGGGGATGCCGAAGCTGGGGGAGTTCAAGGCCTGCCCAGAATACACAGTGAGAAACAACAACACAACAAAAAAGAAAAAAACAACAAAAACCCACCAGTCCCCAAAGGTCATGTACGGTTGATTCCATTGCCCAGGGCATCGGAACAGTCCAGCGCACAGACCCAGGAAGCAGGAGGAGGGGGGAGGAGCACGCGTTTTGTGGGACAGAGCTTCATTCTGGAGGTAAATGGTGCTCAGGCTGCACAGCAGGGTTTATGTTCTTAATGCCACAGAACCACTCACAAAAAATATACTCAACAAGGTAAATGATAGGTTAGTAGGTTATGTAGAGTTTGCCACAATTGGAAGACAAAAATTTGGGCAGGGCCAGAGCTGCTGGGGATTCCTGGGCAGCCCCTCTCCTGGCTCTTCTCTGCTATCCCTTCCCTCTTCCCCAGCCGCAGGCCGTGGGCTGTGTACAGGGCTCTGTATTGGTGGCACTGGGACACGTCTGCGGGACTGCCTGTGGCCCCAGGCCCCAGCCCAGACCCTTTCCTCCACCACTGCACTCCAGCTGCCCAGACCCCTTCCTCCACCACTGCACTCTGGCTAGATAGGGCTGTTTCTCAGTCAAAGCAAAGATCCAGGGCAGCCCAGGGCTAACAACTGTCCTCAAGGCTCAACTCAAGGGAGAAGGGCTGGATCCGGGGACTACGCAGTCCCTAGGGACAACAAAAGGTCCAGCCGTTATCCCCAGGGAACGCACGACAGGGGCATTCACAGTGTTTGAGCAACTTAACTCCAGTCTCTTGCTCTGAGCGCTGCGGCCTTTACTACCAAGGCCTCCCTGGGCTGCTAGGAACATAACGTGCCTGGACAACTTCCCAGGTGACTGGCTCTACTTTATAGAGCTATTAACTTCCTTTCACTGTCCCATAAAAACTTCCAGCGGAGGATGGAGGCCATCCCTCTCCAGGGAGGGAAGGAGGGAAGAAAGAGCACATAAACGAAGAAACCACTGGTCAGCCCTGGAAAGCTCTAGGGCATCCGAACTAGCTGGGTGGCCTAGTTCAGCAGCTGTGTACCGCTCAACTCCAAGTGGTGCCGTTCTCAGACTGCAGTGCAAATGGTTCTCTCTTGAGTTAGACAGTGCAGGAAAGGGGCTCTGTCTGGGATAGTCTTCAAAAGTCTCAAAGCTCGAGCTGGAGGATTGCTCAGTTTTCAGGAACTGCTCGTCCATAATCCTCAGGCAGGAGGAGTGAAGGCAAGGGATTGCCATCACTTCTTGAGTCAAGTGTGGGCTGGGCTAGAACTTACGCTAAGCACAGCACCCAAGAGCACCATGAGCCATCTTCAAGAGCTCACTCCCACATGCAGACCCTGGCTTGGTTTTCTGCTCTTTCTTGACCTCTTCAGGAGATGAATGCTAGACTTTCTCTTCCCTATATGGGGGATGGCTTCTTTTCTCTAGTTTTGTATTTGGCTTTCACATATGAATCCTTTCTTCAGCCATGACTAGTCTCCTATTACAAAGTTCTGTTTGGTTCTTTTTCTTTTCTTTTTTCTTGTCCATCACAGGGCTTGAACTCAGGGCCGGGCGCTGTCCCTGAGCTTTTCGCTCAAAGCTAGTGCTCTACCACTGCTGATTTTCAGGTGGTTATTTGGAGATAAGAGTCTCATGGACTTTCCTGCCCTTGCTGGCTTTGAACGGTGATCCTCAGATTTCAGTCTCCTGAGGATCTAGGATGACAGGCCTGAGCCAGTACCTGGCCTGTTTGGTTCCTTTTCAAATCTGCTTCATCATTCTCTAGGGCTTTTTGTTCCCTGCACTGAGTTTTGGCTTTGCCTTTTGTTGATATAAGTGCACTACGGCTTTAATACTGCAGCATCTGAAGTTATCCCTTGGAGTTTGGAGTTGTTTTTTTTTTTTTTTTAAGT